TCTCCGCTGGCAAGACGTGAGTCACAAAGCCACACATAGCTGCAAGCGACCCTGGGGAAACTCCAGCCACGGGCCACCTGCCCTGCCACCACGACATTCCTGTGAGAGGAAGGGGAGCACGGATTCTGTGGACAGCCAGCCCACATACACCCATGACAATACGATCATTGCTTATTTATACATCTCCCCCTCAGCACCTGAGCTCTTTGAGGGCAGGCAAGTCTCGTTCCATCTTACGGCTTCAGAATCTATCATAGAAAGCAATGTAGATGCTACGGTCCAGGTCAAGTGCTTTGGTTATACACCGAGAGCCGGGCGCCTCCCTCATAAGAATTTTCATCAGTCGGCATGGTGATTCCAGTAGTCCATGGCACCCCTCACCAGACAGTAAGCTCTGTGAGAGCAGAGACCTCACACCTGTGCCTCAAAGCCGAGCACCACTAGAGGGCTCCTCTTTTAGATGATTTAGTTAATTCTAGTAGCTCCATCTTTCATCCATTGCTTGGAATGGATTTCAGATGTCAGACCACCAACCTATCCCATACCCTAAGAAGGGGTTTTAGACACCTTCCCTGTATCATCACTATTTCTCAAAATAAGGAAGTTGTTGGAGCCATCAGTACATCTGTGTGACTCTGGGTCATTACCCGTCACAACCCAGAGCTAATTTAGCTCCATTTAAGAACTGAAACAGCAGCAGCCATGGGGAATTAAAGTCACTGTTGAAGCCTCAGTTTATTCTTTCATGCCTATGAGAGTCACGTTTGTATGGACTGGCTACGGCATGCCTGCCCTATCTTGGCAATGGGGGCACAGAAGCCAAAAAAACAAGGCCTCTGGCCTTGAGGGCTCCCAGTTAGCTCACGGCCAGCCAGTGGGTCTTCCCACCACCTCACAATGAAACACAGCAATTTATTCAAAGATGAATATGTTTTCTTCTTTTGAGAGGGAAGAAAAGCTTTTGAAAACATCACGGTAAAATTTAGTGCTATTAAAAAGCAGCTTTCAGCCAGGAGAGGTGGCTCATGCCTGTAATCCCAGTGCTTTGGGATGCCAAGGTGGGAGGATCCTTTGAACCAGGAGTTCAAAACCAGCCTGGGCAATAAAGTGAGATCCTGTCTCTACAAAAAGTTTAAAAATTAGCCGGGTGTAGTCCTAACTACTCCAGACGCTGAGGTTGGAGGATCACTTGAGCCCAGGAGATTAAGGCTGCAGTGAGCTGTGATTGTACCACTGAACTCCAGCCTGGGTGACAGAGCAAGACCCTCTCTCTTTCTTACACACACACACACACACACACACACACACACACACACAAAAGCCAGGCGCCATGGCTCATGCCTGTAATCCCAACACTTTGGGAGGCCAAGGTGGGCAGATCACTTGAGGTCAGGGGTTCAAGACCAGCCTAGTCAACATGTTGAAACTCCATATCTACTAAAAATATAAAGATTAGCTAGGTATGGTGGCACATGCCTGTAATCTCAGCTACTTGAGTGGCTGAGGCAGGACAATTTCTTGAACCCAGGAGGTGGAGGTTGTGCCAAGATCGTGCCACTGCACTCCAGCCTGGTTGACAGAATGAGACTCTGCCTGTCTCAAAAAAAAAACAAAAACAAAAACAAAACAAAACAAAAAAACAGCTTTCTCCCGCAACCGGACAAAGGAATCCAGTCAAGAGCTAAATTCCTATCAGCTCCCACAACCTGTGTTATTTTGAGAACTAGCAATGATACAGGGAAGGTGTCTAAAACCACTTCCTGGGGTAGGCTGGTGGGTTGACATCTGAAATACGTTTCAAGCATTGGATGGAAGATGCTATGCAAATGCCAGAAGGACAAGGATAAATTGATAGTGTCTTTTCTGATGTGTGGCCTCTCAAAGAGCTTCTAGAGTTAGTAAATCATCTAATAGAGGAATCTAAAAAGCTGACGGGGCTGTGAATAACACTAAGGGTCAGGAGAGCAGCAACTCTGCTGTCCACCACTGTTATGACTGACTCATGTGTCTTCAGCCAGGCTCTTCATCTTGGACACTGCATAAGGCAGGACTGGGCCCTGCTGGTCTAGCTCAGAACTTCTCAAACTCTAACGTAAACCTGAATCACCTGGGTTAAAATGCAGATTCGGCTGGGTGCAATGCCTCACACATGTAATCCCAGCGCTTTGGGAGGCCAAGGCGGGTGGATCCCTTGAGGTCAGGAGTTTGTTATTAGCCTGGCCAACATGGTGAAACCCCATCTCTACTAAAAATACAAAAATTAGCCGAGCATGTTGGCTCACGCCTGTGATCCGGGAGGCTGAGGCAGGAGAATCACTTGAACCTGGGAGACGGAGCTTGCAGTGAACCAAGATGGCGTCACTGCACTCCAGCCTGGGCAACAGAGGGAGACTCTGTCTCAAAAACAACAACAACAACAACAAACCCGTAGATTTGACTTCATAGGTTTGGGTAGGACCTGAGATTCTGCATTGCTAATGAGCTCCCGGGGATACTGAAGCTGATGCCTCCCACCAGGCTGTGAGTAGCAGCACCCAGCCTCCCCCAGCCAGTCCTGTTGAGTGAGAGCCTGAGATCCGGGTGACACGACATCTGATGGGACACCAAAGTGTGGGAGGCTCCAGCTAGATGCAGACTTGAGCAGTGTGTCTCAAATACAGCTGCACATTAAAATCACCTGGGAAGGTCGAGTGTGGTGGCTCCCTCCTGTAATCCCAGAACTTCGGGAGGCCAAGGCAAGTGGATCACTTGAGGTCAGGGGTTCAAGAGCAGCCTGACCAACATGGTGAAACCCCATTTCTACTAAAAATACAAAAATTAAGCTAGGCATGGTGGCATGCACCTGTAATCCCAGGTACTTGGGAGGCTAAGGCAGGAGAGTCACTTGAACCTGGGAGTCGGAGGTTGCAGTGAGCCGAGATCACACCACTGCACTCCAGCCTGGGCAACAGAGTGAGCCTGTCTCAAAAAATAAAAATAAAAAAATCACCTGGGAAGCTTCAACATCCACTGATTCCTCAGTCCTCTCCCAGAGATTGTGGCTTAAAAGGCCTGGGGTTTGACTTGAGCATCAAGATCTTTATTTTTTAAATTTTATATTTTTGGGATTTTTTGAGACAGGATCTCTGTTGCCCAGGCTGGAATGCAGTAGCATGATTATAGCTCACTGCAGCCTCAAACTTCCAGGCTCAGGGAATCCTCCTGCCTCAGCCTCCTCAATAGCTGGGATCACAGGCATGTGCCACCACACCCAGATAATTTTTTAATTTTTTGTAAAGATGGGGTCTGACTGTGTTGCCCAGGCTGGTCTTGAACTCCTGGGCTCAAACAATCCTTCTGCTGCAGCCTCCCAAAGCACTGGGCTTACAGGCATGAGTCACTCCATCCAGCTGGAATCAGGATCCTTGAAAGTCCCCCCCGGTGGTTCAGATGTACAGCAAAGTCTGAGAAGCTCTGGTTGCCGATAGAGCAGTGGTTTTATCAGAATCCCCAAGAGAGCTAAGACAGAACTCTAAGGTCATGGAGGTGGGTGGAGCAGGGCCTTAGTCTCATTACATTCCCAGAGGATTCTGATCCCAACCAAATTTGGGGAAACGATGGTAGAGAACGGCTTCCCCACAGTGGGCTGGGGAGTGTGGGTGTAGCCTACAGGTGCTCTGCCTTGATCCAGCACCTCAGCCCTCTGGGTGGGGCCTTGGGTAGCCAGAGTCAGTGGAGCCAGTTGCCTCAGTGGGTCTGTTTTCCCCAGAATGTGGTGGAAAAGTATAAGAAGCACTGTTATATTAAAATATAAAACCAAAGCCGGGTGCAGTGGTTCGCGCCTGTAATTTTAGCACTTTGGGAGGTGGGTGGATCACCACCTGAGGTCAGGAGTTCAAGGTTAGCCTGGCCAACATGGTGAAACCCTGTCTCTACAGAAACAGAAAAAAAACATTAGCCAGGCGTGTTGGCGGGCACCTGTAATCCCACCTACTTGTGAGGCTGAGACAGGAGGATCACTTGAATCTGGGAGGCGGAAGTTGCAGTGAGCTGAGATCACACCACTGCACTCCAGCCTGGGCAACAGAAAAAAAAATATATATACACACACACACACACACACACACACACACACACAAATCAAACAAATTAAAAAAAAAAAAAAAAACTAAACTAAAACATGAAGCATTCCTGGATCTCTGTCAGAGCTCTTTACAAGGTCACGAGTCCCATTCATAAGAGCTCTGTCCTCATGACTTAACCACCTCTCAGAGGTCCCACCTCCTAATAGCATCACTTTGGGGCTTTGGATTTCAAAATAGGAATCTGGGGGGCGGGGGGACAGAAACATTCAGACCATAGCACAGGCTGAGAAAAATGCACCAAACATAACTTCAAACCATCTCCCCTGAAGTTGAAGCCAAAATGAATTTGGATTCCATTTTAGCCAGGGGAGCAAACAGGTCTGTCAGCTTATTCTTTTTGGGCTTTTAGCTTTGCTCCAAGTTCATTAGGATCCCTCGGAGATGGATGCTGTAGGGCAGAGCACTCGGTAAACCCTTGGGGAATGAACTCATTGATCTGCCCACCTGGGCCTCCCAAAATGCTGAGATTACAGGCATGAGCCGCTGTGCCCAGCCAGGTGTATATTTTTATAAGAAGAAAACACATGACCTGTTTCCATTTGACAGAGGTTTGGCTGGAGCTGGGGCTGCTCGTGTTGGGGTTGGCAGAGCGACTGGGCATGCAGGTTTGCGGGGGCCAGGGGAGCAGTCTGGTGAGGCCCGGGGTGGCCTGTGGCCCCGAAGTTGTGTTTCCAGTCTGCTCTGGGTCAGATCTGAGGGCTCTCTGTCTGCCTTGAGCTCCCCATCTCCCCAAGGTCTGATATGGAGTCCCCAGGCTTTGGGGGAAGGCTGCTGAGCTTGAGGAGAGGGGAACCATGGGATGGGGTGGATGGGGATGCTGGGAACAATGTCAGGGGGTCCCCACACCTCTAGACACATCTCTGGTTGTGCTTTCAGGTGACCTCAAAGCAGCAGCTCTGAATTCGCCTCTCATCTGACGACTGACCGCTGCTGCCGCCGCCAGCCTCTGTCCCCTTCCCAGGCCTGTCACACAGCTGCCTCTCAGCAGGTAAGGAGAGTGACTTACCCTGTGCAGGGGCAGGGGGACAGCAGGTGTCTTCGCCAGGAGCGTGTGTGGGGGCCAGGGTGAGACTCAGTTCTCAGGATCCTTGATGGTGGCCAGGTCCTCACAGCATCATTTTCTTCTAGCAGTCATCACTGTCCTGTCCCCTTCTCCCACCCTCCATGGCAGACACGGAGCCCTTAGAAACCTTTTGCCACCTCCTGTTATCCCCTATGTGAGTGGATGCGCCCCTGTTGAGGGAGCAGAGGAGGAGAACTGAGCCATCGCCGAGGGCTGCTGGGCCTTGGCTGGGGAACCGTGCTGTATGCTTCCCTGTGGGAAAAGAGACGCTATCGCAGTGAGCCTCCTTGCTGAGCAAGGATGAAAGGAGGTCGACAACTCACTCCCTCCCCATCCTCAGTTTACGCTGCTGGGTCCCTTCAGGCTCAGGGATAGCTGTAGGCCGGCTGCAGTATTCTACTGACAGATACTTATCAACCGCTCATGGACGGAAGTCATAGTTAGGGAGGATGGCTGCAGAGGCACAATGCCATCCGTCTTCCAGAAATTCTAAATACTGTGCCCCAAGTCAAGTCAGATCAGAAGCACTGGGGATGGAACCACCTTTCATTGGTCTCCCAGCCCCAACTTTGCATTTACTGAGTTGTGTGCTGCAAGATGCAGCCCATCAGAATATTACAGGGCATGATCGTACGCAGGGGTTCACATCTGTAATCCCAGCATTTTGGGCGGCCAAGACGGGTGGATCACCTGAGGTCAGGAGTTTGAGACCAGCCTGGCCAACATGGTGAAACCTGTCTCTACTAAAAATACAAAAATTAGCCAGGCATGGTGGTACGCACCTGTAATCCCAGCTACTCAGGAGGCTGAGGCAGGAGAATCGCTTGAACCCAGGAGGTGGAGGTTGCAGTGGGCCCAGATCACACCACTGCACTCGCAGCCTGGGTAAAAGAGCAAGACTCCATCTCAAAAAAAAAGAATGTTACAGAGCAAACCGGGGTCTGCGTGCCCAGTGTGGTAAGATCACCGAGGTTTTGCAGTGGAAGAAAGGAGGGTGTTTAATTGCTGGGCACCAAGCAAGGAGGACTCGGTGGCTCATGCTCAAATCCTGACCAGTGGCTTGCAGGTAAGGGTTTTTTAAGTTGGGAGTACATTTCAGGAAAGCAGAAGTTACAAGTAAGATTGTAAAATCAACACATGGCGGTTACACACTGATTTTGGCCGAAAAGAGCGGGTATCTTGAAGCCAGGGCATACAGGTCATGGATAGATTTAAAGATCTTCTGATTTCCAATTAGTTAATGAAAAGAAGCTTTGTTTTAAATGTTGGAGTCAGCAAAAAACAATGTTAGCTCTGGTTTGTGGGCAGGACTCCCTCCGGGCCCCTCAGGAAGAAATTAATTAATTAATTAATTAATTTAGAGATAGAGTCTCATTCTGTCACCCAGGCTGGAGTGCAGTGGCATGATCCCGGCTCACTGCAACCTGTGCCTTCTGGGTTCAAGCAATTCTCCTGCCTCAGGCTCCTGAGTAGCTGGTATTACAGGCGCACGCCATCGCACCCGGCTAATTTTTTTTGCATTTTTAGTAGAGATGGGGTTTCACCATGTTGGCCAGTCTGGCCTCGAACTCCTGATCTCAAGTGATCCACCCACCTCTGCCTCCCAAAGTGCTGGGATTACAAGCGTGAGTCACCGCACCTGGCCCAGGAAGAAATTTAGAACCAAGAGCGGCGGTCAGAGTTGAGTCCTCAGTTCCCCCTCATCTGAGGTATCTGTGCCAGCAGATTCATTCAGTAGGGGGCCAGGTTTCTGAAAAACAACTCAGAGACATATGTTAAGATGTTATCTTTAGTTTCCATAGGGAAACCAAACATCTCGTAATTCTAGCTTCTTTGGCTATTGTTTTAAGCTACTATTACCTTCTTGCTTATCAAGTCATTTATTTACTTCTCACGGCTAGCTTGGAATTTCCCTTGAAGGAACTCAAGATTTTCCTTTATTTCCCTGCTGGGGGTCCCACAGACCCCTACAACGGGTTCCCTGCTGCATCTCAAGAAACACCTGGTGCAACCTGTGTGCATAAGCACATTCCTGTGTACCTGGGAAGAAAGAGCTGTGTGAGCACGTGGCCCCAGGGGCCAACCCTAAGCAAGTGGTCCCTTTTCCCCCTTGCCTCATCTTCTAGAAAGCAAGAGCCCAGTCAGTGTGGCCGGTAGCTAGTGTGGCCAGTAGTCAGTGTTGCCAGTAGTCGGTGTCTCCAGTAGTCAGTGTCGCCGGTAGCCAGTGTCGCTGGTAGTCAGTGTCCCCAGTAGTCAGTGTCTCCAGTAGCCAGTGTCACTGGTAGCCAGCGTTGCCGGTAGACAGTGTGGCTGGTAGTCAGCGTCCCCAGTAGCCAGTGTCGCCAGTAGTCAGTGTGCCTGTGGAGATTTGTTGCAGCTCTTCTCTGTCCCTACTTCCATTTTTCTTCTTGGGTCCAGGTGAGATGTGCAAGCTCATGAATGTCTGTACAGGGAGACGTACCTGAGTCCCCATGGAAGTACGGCGTCCAGACAGTCTCAGAAAGGCAGGGGTGTTATTCAGGTCAAACCTCAAGGGCACCTGGCCAGGTAGGAGAAGCAGGGCCTCTGAAACCTTCTCATAGGGCTCTATCTTTAAAGCATGTGGTTGTCTTGAGCGCCATTGGCAAAAGCCATTTCCTGCTCCCCCACCAGGGATTTCCTCAGTTTTTTGCCCACCTCAGGGAAGGGGCTCCTTCCTGCCATCTCACTCCCAGGTTAAGCAAGGTTAGGATCACCCAGGGGATGAGTCTGTTCCAGGACAGCAGGACAGACCAAGTGTGGGGGATGAAATCCTAAGCGCCACTAGGCCAAGGTGTAATGAGCCGGGAGCAGTGGCGGAGCAGTGCTTCCTTCCTCTCCTGCTGAGGAGCTCTGGGAGACTATGTTATCTAACCTCCTTGAATATGTTTCCTCATCTGAAAAATAAGAGGACTGGAACTGGACCTCCATGTTCCCCTGCAATACCAACAGTCAGTGATTCGGAGCCTTGCTACTCAAAGTGTGGTCCGTGGACCACAGCCTCACGAAGCTCGTTAGAAACACAGGATCTCAGCCCCTACCCCAGAGCCCCTCGATCAAAATCTGCATTTTAAAATCCTCAGGCGATACATATGCACATTAAAATTCAAAAAGGACTGGTTGAGATAGCCCCTAAGGTACATGAGACATCCTGCGTGTCTCGTGCAAGGTAATTTGGTGGACACCAAGGAATCACGAAGTGGAAGCGGCTCACGGCCAGCAGGGGTGCTCCACCTTTGGTACAGGCCAGAATCAGCCTGGGAGATTGTAAAATATGGACATTCAGGTGTGCAGGGCCACAGTGCTGGGAGAAGCCAGAGCAGCCCCTTGGGAAGAGAAAACACAAACACCCACACACGAAATCACTTAAGGATCACCGAGGGCAACAAGAGTGACTGTCCTAGAAACAGTATCAGGGTGAGCTGAGGGCGGCAGAGCAGAGACTGTGGAGCAGGCCGATTTATTCAGTGCTCTCAAAAGAGGGCTTTTCATCCTTACATTAGAATCTCTTCCTTTAGTTACTGAGGGGCCTCTCATGGGAATCTGTTGTTACCTCTCCACCTTCTTCTTCTTCTTTTATTTTTTTTGAGATGGAGTCTCACTCTGTCACCCAGGCTGGAGTGCAGTGCTGCAGTCTTGGATCACTGCAACCTCTGCCTTCTAGGTTCAAGCAATTTTCCTGTCTCAACCTCCCAAGTAGCTGGGACTACAGGCACCCACTACCACGCCTGACTAATTTTTGTATTTTTAGTAGAGAGGGGGTTTCACCATATTGGTCAGGCTGGTCTCAAACTCCTAACCTCAAGTGATCCACCCCGCCTCTGCCTCCCAAAGTACCGGAATTACAGGCGTGAGCCACTGTGCCCGGCCTCTCCACCTTCTTAAGCAAGAACGCAGAAGATTGCAGGGAGGTAAGACTGTTGATGTTGTTGCTTGTTTTAAGATGGTCAGGTGCAAACTGCATAAATATATTTGCATATTCCGAGGAGGAAGAACCCAGAGATGCGGACATTACAGGACGGAGGGGTGAGTGCAGGGCAGATCCCTCAGGGAGGGGATTGGTCTACCCCCCTGTGAAGTGTTAGCCTTGGCTGAGAAGATGCAAATGACAGATGACCCAACAAATATGGCCTGAACCATGAGGAGTACGTTTTCTCATTTCAAGGATCAGGAATAGACCTCCGAGGACCACCCAGCTCAAGGATCCAGGTCATTTTCTCCACTAGCCTCCTGACCCTGTCCTTGGTTGATTCCCCAGTGGTTATATGGCTCTGGCAGCTGCAAACACAACTCAGTCAAGGTGGTCAAACACAGAGCTTTCTCCCCTTGTCCCTCCATCAGGGAGGAAAACCCTCCCTATGAGTCCCTGCAGATTTCCCCTAGTGTCCCACTGAGGAGGACAAGGTCACATTGTCAGGCTCACGACTATACCAAATGCCCTGCTTGGGGTCAGGTTCCAGCCCATGCTGAGGTTCGAGGGGAGTGGGCGGATGGGCAGACAGCTGAAAGAACACTCGTGGGGCCATAAGCAGGCGAAATGTAGTTTTATCCAGCAGGTCTTTCATCAGCAGCTGACTCACACTAGCTCTCTCACACTGTCCACCTTGACTCGGCTGTCTGTTCTGGCTCTGTGGCTCCTCTCAGCAGCCTGCTCCCACACACAGCTGCATGGCCGGCTCTCCCCTGCCGTCAGGGTCAGCAGCTTAACTCTTTCTCTCTCTGGGCACGAGCTGAGCCGTGCTGTGCCCTGGCTCCCCCCGTCTGCTGCAAAATGGACAGCTTTGGCTCTCTTTCTCTGGGCACCAGCATGCCTGTACAATGTCAGCAGGGCAGTAATACCTTTTACAAACAATAGTGGCTTACAGCCAAATGATGGGCCTTCCCATGTGACGGCAATATGGCTGTGA